TCTTCATATCGGTCCGTCCGTCCACCCATCTCTTCGTCTGAGTGTAAACCTATTCTCTGCTATTAAAACAGAAACCTGATATTTGGAATATATGTATACTCATTGGTGGCATATAGGGAAATATGACTCTCCGAAACGCTATTACTTGACTTGCTAAAGAAACTCGAAATATACATATATTTGAATGTACAGTCCAAGGCAACAAATATAGGTACATATATTGTTTATATGTATGTATAAACTCAAAATTTCTGTTGGTTTTGTTGTAAAATCTGATCAGTACATTTCTTTTTAACATCCAATTGTTTATACTATATAAATTATCGTTCTATGTAAAACTATATAAGGAACTTCCTACTAATTAAAATATTAGCCAGTTTTTAACTTGGATCCATACCATATATAATATCTGCTTATTTAGTTGGATTCTGTTTTCTAATAAATAAAACTATTATCAATTTTATAATTTTTCTACGCCAAATAGGCCTTGCATATGGAATTAATGATAATATATTTGAATCTGACCTCATTATTGTGTATATGCATATGTATATGTATGTAAGTATGTATGTAAACTAAGCTCTCCTTATATCTGAATGCCACTATACTATTCTCTATATACACTATATCCATATAGCCAAGATCTTGTATCGTTATTAGCTACAGTCATATAACTATATGTACATACATACTTACATATATATATTTGTAGTTACATTTTATTGAGAGTAAATCTCATACGATACATATACATGCATACACATATACATATATAGATATGTACAGGCTTCAATATAGCTGATTGTAAATGGATTTCCGTCTGCCTTATAGATGCTGCACTGCATTCGAAGTGCATTTTGTGCTATTATATGGAAGCTGCACTGCATTCGAAATTAGTTTTCTGCTGCTATATGTACATATGTATGGAGGCTGCACTGTATTGCAAATGCGTTTTAGTCTGTTCTACAGAGGCTGCACTGTATTTATTTGAATTATTTCTGTTAAGGCCATGTTTGTGCAATATGGGTTGGAAGTGCATACAAATAGACTTGGACTTGGACTTGGCTTGAAACGGACAGACAGATTGACATTTGTCGCTCTCTGTCTGTCTCTCTCTCTCTCTCTCTCTCTCACTCTATCTTTCTCTGTGTGTGAAGCATTTTGGCTGTGACTTGGAAGTTTTGCTGCAGCTTTGGGCATTTCATTCAAAGTAAATATTTACGAGAATGTGTGTGTGTGTGTGTGTGTGTGTACGCCTTGCTTTAGCAGGCTAAGCACAGTCACTGTCGTCGCTGCATTCGACGTTTGTTTATGCATTGTATATGAATATACATACATACATACATACATACATACATATACATTTATGCATATATGTATATGTACATATGTATGTATATATGCAAGATATGCATGTGTCGTCGTCGTTGGGATACCTACAATGCATATACACTCAAACACACACACACACACACACGCTGACACGTTCAAGAGAATCCATATCAGCACACCACACCAACAACAAGAACAATTATGCCCTGCCAAACGTACGAAAGTTCAAGCACACACACACACACACACACACAGAGAGAGAGAAGCTCGTGCATGTACAGAGTTGCCATATAAAGGCAAACAAATGTGCGGCGACAGAGACGGTGGCGACGGCGAATGCCCACAGGCCAGCCAGCCAGTCAGCCCAGGCCGAGTCGGCAGAGTCGAGCCAGACAGTCTGTCGCCAGAAAAATCTACACACAACAACAGCAACACATACAGCAGCAGCAGCAGCAGCAACGACGACGGCGACGACGACGACGACGACGACAAGAGCGCAAGCCGAAAAACGAGGGCATGGGCGGGCAGTGGTGGTGGTGGTGACGGTGGGCGGGGTCGGCGCGCGGGCGATGGCGTTGTTCAAGTCGTTTGCGTCGCTGTTGGCGTCGCAGCTGGCGCGCAGCTCTGTATCTGGTTAAGAAATCGTTCCAATGCGCAGAGCAAAGCAAAGTGAAGCAAAGCAAAGCAAAGCAAGGCAAAGCGAAGCGAAGTGAAGCCAAAGCCAAAGCCAAAGCAAAAGCGAAGCAGAATTCCATTTAGATTATATGCTTATTTTTTTGTCGGTGTTGTTGTTGTTGCTGTTGTTGTTTTCGTTGGCGCTTTTGACGAGCGGGCAACGTGTTGTGCGGCAGCTTGGTAGGTGTTACAATACATAATGCATACACACACACACACACACACACACACACACACACACACACACTCGCGCGCGCACATGCATAGAGTGAGCCCCATGTGCACATATGCATGTATGTGTGTATGTATGTGCAGCGCTGCCAATGCGGACGACAGCGACGTGCATTGCCAGACCGTTCGGCGGCGCGCACAGCCGTCACATAACGTCATCGCCAGCATTGGAGGGGGTCACGGGGGGCACCAGCGGGGTAGCGGCATGCACAACGGGGGGTGTTTAATGTTTAGGCAGCCTATGCTGCACCGTACACACACACGCCTAGCGCACAGTGAGTGTGCGGGTGCGCCCCCGCTCCCCTTTCCCCTTCATCGTCGATGCGCTTACGCCCCTGGTCGCTTAGCTGTTTGCTATCGTAGGTTTGACGACGCTGCGACGACTCGAGTACGAATTTTATCGCCCACGATTTGTGTTGTTTGTTTGTTTGTTTTTGATACCCTACCCTAGCCACGGCACACACAAGCAACAACTGGCATTTGCACACACACGCACACACACACACACACACACAGCCCTATTGCACATGGGCCACTTAAGTGCAGGCACAGCAACAGGAGGGGGCCGAGCATGGGGCAGGGTTGTCGCCATTGCCATAAATCGCCTCGCTTTCGACTGCAGCTAACTAACTAATGTGCGTGTTCGTGTGTGTGTTTGTGTGTGTGTGTGTGTGTGTTTGCTTACCCACAGCATACACAGCAATCTGCCTACCCCCCCCCTCCCACTCTCCCCTTCCACCCCCTCACCACATGCTGTTCAACAGTTCGCTATCCCCATAGACAAACATTTGCATCCAAAGTTCCCAATCGAAAATAAAATTCGATTTCGATATTCCGTATATGTGATACAGTAGTCTCTGGCTAGTGGCAACTTTTAGATTTTTGTGGTTTATTGACAGGAAGTCCTCAAATTATTTATTGGAAAAGGAACTCAAAATCTCTTTGACGTCCGGATCCTAAGATTCTAGATCCTCTTCTCTTCTATGTGTAGATCTTGGCTTTTAGTAATTGTTTTATGATATATTATTAGATCTACCATATATGATGGCACAGTATCAAGTTGAAAGTTTTAATATTAAAGTTATTTTAATTTTAAACATTTTACCTTATAGAAAAGCTTTGATCTTCACTCATGAACATTCTAATAAAATTTAAATATTATTATTTTTTTATTTATTTATTTATTTATTATTTATTTATTTATTTATTATTTTTTAAGTAAGATATTAAAGTAAGATTCTAACTCTTCTAAATAAGTGAAATTTATATATGATTTAATGGAAATTGGTTTTATAATAAGAAATCAAAAGAAGATTCTTATTGTAAATAGAGATTTTTGTTATTCATATTAATTTTAAATCAATTAGTTTTTCTACAGCGAGTGGCTACTGTAGCCAAATTGCTCATCTCTTGCATTTCCTGCTTAGCCCGAAAGTCCGAAAATTGCTAAAAGAACCGCAAGGAGCTGGCGACCGAAGTGCGGTTAGCTCTTCCAGGATAGAGCAGGCGAAAGCCGAGGGGCGAATTGGCTGGAGACGTGCTGCGGCAAAGGCGGCGAGTCCGGCGAATCGCTCGGCATTGGGAATCGGGTCGCCTCTCGGGCAGCCACAGTCAACTGTACTAAAGATAGAAGCGAGCATGAACACGTTCTCACTCACTCACACACACACGCACACACACACACACACACACAGGCAACTGCACACAGCAGGCGAGCAAACACACAGGAAACGTGGACACCAAGACGAAAAACAAAAACAAAATTTAAAAAAAAAAAAAGAGAAAATGTTATGGGACTAACGTGCGGTGTACAACCGGGACGGACGCTGCATAAGTGCATCATGATGTGGTCTGAAACCCAACACTGTTGCCTGGCTGCGAATATTAAAATACCCACTTAAGACCAACAACAACAACAATAACAATGGTAAGTAGTACCCTTACACGCACACAGTCGCACGAGCTCAGCCCGATCGACTGCGGCCAGGCGACATCCAGACATTGGCGCCCTTAGCACTTGGGTTGCAGCTCTTGAGGCTAAGAATAAATTATAGTTAGCTCTTAGGGCGCAGGCGCGGATGTTGCTGGCGCTCAAGTAGTTGGTGAGGCAAACAGTTGAGCCTAGACTGAACCCAACACTTGGACCAAAATATCAATCACTTCACTTCGTTGGCATTAAAATAAAGAAAAAAAAAAAAAAAAGAAAAAGGAAAATCATTCAGCAAACTTCAGTTAAGTTTGGAATCTGAGAAATTCATATTGCGCGCCTTAATAGCAAACAGTGTGTACACACCGCAATGGCAGCAGCAAAACATGAACTGTTGCAACGCGAAAATGCGCCCATCGTGCGCGCAGTGCACTCTATCGATAGCCTAGCGCCTGAAACCTATCGATTAGTTAGCCAATTTTCCACACACTGTCCTCGCTATTAGTGTGTGCGTGTGTGTGTGTGAACGCGTTGATTTACAAGAAAGTACTTCAATAATCCCAAAAAGAAAAAACACCCACAAAATGTCAACAAATTAAATTGAGTTGCATTTTGCCATAGACAGGTGCTAAGCGGGCGAGCGACTGTAGCTGGCAGCAACAACAAAAAACCAAGCGAGCAGCAATAATAATAGCAAGCAGCTGCTGGTGGGAGGCATTAAACAACAACAAAGGCAAACACTCGCTCACACACACACACACACACTCACATATGCACAGATAGACGAGCCAGCGCAGGAAAAACAAATACAAAGGCAGCTTTTCCAGAAATTGGGTCGCGTTCGTTTTTTTGTGTTTTCATTTTCCGAGATTCGAACTTTGTTTCCATTCGCCTTTGTTATGGAAACTTTGAGCACATGTTTCGGTTAGTTTCCTGTCAATGCTGAATGTATAAACATAATAATATTCAGTTGAATATATATTGTGTACTCATATTGTACGTGACTTAATATCAATTGAAAATAATCGTATTTTGCTTTTAGTCTGAAACGCAACTGGACCCACTAGAGAAAATCCCTCTCCCTCTCACGACTCCGAGCGTCATGAGTGTCGTTGGCAAGCAACTGAATCCCGTGCAATCAAATTCGGCCGCCGCCGCCGCCGCCGCTGCTGCCTCCTCCTCGGCAGCTGCAGTCGCTCCGGGCAGCAGCAGCAGCAACAGCAGCAGCTCTGAGTCGAACGGCGCTAATGCTGCAGCTGGCGTCGCCGCTGGCATCGGCATTGGCGCCGGCGACGCCAAGCGCAAGGAGGAATCCAATGTGACACCGGAGGATGTGCTGCATCTGACCAAAATCACAGACGATTATCTGTGCTCGGCGAACGCGAATGTGTTCGAAATCGACTTTACACGCTTTAAGATACGCGACCTGGAGAGCGGCGCCGTGCTCTTTGAGATAGCCAAGCCGCCCAGCGAGCAGTTCCCAGATGGCCTCTCCGTCGAGGACACCATGCTGGCCGCCGCCGAGGATCTGTCGCTCGATGACACTGCCGATCCCAATGCCGGGCGCTATGTGCGCTACCAATTCACGCCAGCCTTTCTCAACCTGAAGACAGTGGGCGCCACGTACGTTGAATCGGATTATTATATAGACTCGCATTACCATATACATACATATGTACTTATCATATTCCCACCTCGCTTTCAGTGTCGAGTTCACTGTGGGCAGCCAGCCAGTTAACAATTTTCGCATGATCGAGCGTCACTTCTTTCGCGACCGCTTGTTAAAGACTTTCGACTTTGAGTTCGGCTATTGCATTCCACACTCCAAGAACACTTGCGAGCACATCTACGAGTTCCCCAATCTTCCGCCAGATCTCGGTGAGTAATAGCTCCCATACCCCAACAGCAGCTGCACATGCACATGCAAATGCACATGCAAATGCGAATGCAAATGCAAATGCAACTGCTGCCAGCTGCAAGTCAAGGTCATGTGCCCAGGCACATGCACGTACAGTGCGCATTCGATATGAAGTAAAATAGAGTTCAAATTGCAAATGTGAATATGTGAAGGGGAGAGCACTATATTTTAATACCCTGTAATGCTTTAGAGTTTAATTAGATATACAAATTTATAAAAGCTTAATTGATTTTAGGCTTTAGAGATTTAATTTGAAAGGGAGTGCATGATATTAAGCTTAAGCTCAATGAAATTGAATTGTTAGAGTATCCATTTGTAAATACCCTGTAAAGCTTGATTTAATGTTGTTTTTATATTTGATCGATATACAAATGGAAAAGAACTGAATTCATTAAAGGCTTTAACTGTGAATGCTTTTACGAATATTGCCGGCATATTAATTTATATTTAAGTGCAGGACATGTAAATACCCTGTAAAGCGAAAAAATATCTTTTCAGTATCTATGCCATTTTGTAAAAACTAAATTGATTTTAAGATTTAACCTAGTCAAAAATATTTGCTCTGATCAACATAGCGAATGCACACTGTACGCGTGTAACTAGGTCAGAATTTATTTAATTTGATTTAATTACGCTTTGCAGTTGCTGAAATGATATCCAGTCCGTTCGAGACACGCTCGGACAGCTTTTACTTTGTGGAGAATCGACTCGTCATGCACAACAAGGCGGACTACGCCTACGATGGGGGCAAACCTACCTAAATCTACGCTAAGAATTGATGCAGCAGCTACACTATAACTAAAACCTATAGCAGCAAAAAACAAAAACATAAACAAAAAGGAAAAAAGAAACAAAACAAATGAAAAAAAAACATGAAAAACTAAACTAAAGTTAGCTGATTCACACACACACACACACACACACACACACCCAACACAACACGCACATTAAGCAGCAAGCAAAAACAAGGAACAAAAACAGAAAACAACATGAAAAATCTTAGTGGAAAAAAATCATGTTAGCCTTAGCACAATGTTTTACCCACCATTCATGTTTATGTATTAATCATTATAAACAAGCTCACACACAAACAACCAAAAACAAACACACACACACACACACGCACGCAAACTGTGTTCATTTATATATGAAAAAGACGATAAGTGTATAACAAAAAGGAAAAGGAAAATTTACTTTTAATGGAAATATTTAGTTTTTAAGTGCTATGTGATTTTCATGAAAACACAGTCACAATTAGGAAACCCCTCTCAACTTATTTATGTTTTGTATTTAAATTGTACCTTAAGCCGCGCACACATACACACACACACACACACACACCCACACCCACCCATACACATTTTAATACATATACACATCAATCTCGAAATATCTCATTTACAAATTGCTACATATGAGGCCACGTTTATCAAAAAATTTGCTTCGAATGGGTTGGTTATGATCTCTAATTTGTGTTTTAAATGTGAATAAATATTTTAAAAGTCCGTCTTTACTATGTATACACTCAAATACGAGAAAGAGAATTAAATTTACATTTAAAATGTAATCATGTTGCTTTATTTCTTTCGTGTCTTTTGGGCAATTGATTTCACATCTCGCTCTGATTTGTGCAAATACATTGTCGAATTTGGTGGGTAAAGTCGGGTGAAAATTCGCTCATGGATCGTTGAGGAATTCGGTGACAATCTGGATGAACTGCTGCGGCTTCTCCAGATGAACCAGATGGCCCGTGTCCAGCCAGTGGATGCTGGCATTGGGAAAGATTTTCAGCACCTCGGGCCACGACTCGCGTCTGTAGAATGCATGAGTGCGTGTGTGAGAGAGAGAGTGAGAGAGCGAGCGAGCGAGAAAGGGAGAGAGAGAAAATTTCAATTATATTTATATTGCATATGCATTTATAATATATATAGCTCAGCTATTTACTCCATATATGGTGAGCGGGTGCCACAGATGAAGGTGGTGGGTCCCGTGTAGGGCGGCAAATTGGCAATGTGCTCGCCGTAGCGCGTGAAGCCGGGCAAACTGTTGAGCAGGACATCGACGTTGCAGGCCCAGTAGAATCTGTGTGGAGCGGCTTCAGTTAAAGGGGGGTTCAGTTCATTCAAATGGAGCTTACTTACTCGCCAGTCTTTGGTCTTTTGCGCAGATTCAGCAATATGAAGTCAACCGAACTTCGATCCACGGTTTCACCGAGCTTTTCCTTGGCGGCCTGGCGGCCCTGGGATAACGACATGTCCGGTGGCATATCGATCTGCAGCATGGCCTGGAAAATACCCGTCATATCCTCTATGGTTCCGGGTATGTACACGGGCGAAATATCCACCACAATCAGCCGCTCCACAAGATCCGGCTAAAGAAAAACCAAGATATCAGTAAAAATGGTCAGGAAAGCGCGGCCTCCAGTGTTGGATAATAGCATACGTATGACAAGGTGAAGTGCATGGCAGAGCGACCGCCCATGCTGTGACCCATCACACATGTCTGGCTCAAGGATTTCGCCTGCGTGAAGGCAGCCAAGTCCGCCGTCATCCCAATCGAGTTGTGGGTGTCCGTGTGCGGACTGTCGCCATGATTGCGTAAGTCCACTGTGTAGACCTGAAAAGCAGATGGAAGTGCATGCTAGAGCGTCATTTGGCTGAAATGACGGGGAGTTTACTTGCTTACGCGACGATTGGTCTGTTTGGCCAGGGCCCTGCTGATGCTACGCCAGTTCTGCTTGGAACCGAATAAGCCGTGCATGGTGATCAGGGGAGACCTGCTGGCATCGGGAGTGGGGCCATCAAATTGCTCGTGGCTCATGGCAATGGCAGGGATGCTGGCATAGTGGCGATGCTGGTGTCCGACAGCCGCCCGGCCTGCGCTCAGCAGACATTGTATATACGATTTGGTCGCACCACTCTTTGGAAGACAACGTAACGTTTCGTTCAACAGTTGCATTTCGCTAGGGCTGCACAGTGGCTATCGATGGCTCAGCTTATAGTATTTTCATAGCAACATCATCAACAAAACCATCGATAGCTTCGTACTGGACACCTCTATCCCGATTATCAAATGAATTAATCAAATTTAAGTCACAATAAAAAATAAAAAATATGAGATAAAGGCTACTTTAATTGACATAACCTACACAAAACATTCATTAAAGACAAAAGCGTGTGTTTAAAATGCTTGAATATCGACGAATATAGCCTTCTGATTAATAAAAACCTTTGCACATTACATTTTTAAGCCAAATTATTTTAGAAACAATATATTGTAAATCAAATATGGTAATTTAAATGGGATTTGAATTCCGCGTTCATGCACATTGAAAAAGTAAATATCGATAGCTTGCAATGAAGCGATAAAAACAACATCGAGGGCAGCTCTAGCAAACTTTGTTCACCTCTAATATTTTCTGCAGTTGCGGCGGCTTCGTTTGTGACAAGAGAATTTTTTGTTGAGAGGTCGCATGACAATTTTAAAAATTTGTTAAGTACAATAAGGAACAGGTAAAAGCTTCAATCCTGGATCATCTATATTGCAAAATCAGCTCCACACTTTCAACGCCGTCAGCAAAAGCAAGGCACAACCCGTGGTAAACGCAGCGAAAGCAAAGTAGTCGACGGCGTACTCTCACACACATACGCACATCAAGCCTGTGGCACACTCACGTACTCACTCACACAACTTTACACGAAGCCGGAGCCGGAGACGGAGCCTGGTGACAGACCTTTTTTTTTGGCCCTGGCAAGCCGAACAGTGAGCGACAAGCTAGCATAAAGAGGAGGAACGGTAGCAGCTGTGTCAACTGCGTTTAGGTGAGCAACGACAAATTGTGCAAATTCGCAATGCAACCAAAATTGATATATATATTTTCAAGTATTCTATTTTTCCCCTCCAACACTACGTAAGTGCAAAAAAAGTACAAAAAGTAAATAAAAAAAGTGGTTTACACACATCAAAAATACCGAAAACAGTATTAAAAAGTATTACACCGAAAGACAAAATGTATAAAGCTTCGTAAATCGTATATGACTCTAGTGACTTCTGTGAAAAAGTTGTGTTTGAAAATCGGAAATCTCTCGTCCGTCTCTCTCCAGTCCTGTGCTGAGAGTAAAACTAGCGATGCGATTTATAGTTCAGTATCAATTGTTTAAATGTTTTCCATAACAACTTGTTTCGGTCGCGAAAAGTGCGAGAATTAAACAAAAATGTAAAAAAAATACCGCAGAATAAATACCAACAACACTAAAAACGTATATAGACGTCAAATGTCGATGTCATATACGAAGTAACCCATGTGTGTGTATAATTATATATATGTGTATATATATATAAATATATATACATATCTATATATATGTACATATATACTGAGTAAATAAATATCTATCTATATACATATATGCATATATGTATGTTTATATTTATGTGTATGTGTATGTGTGTGCGTGTGTGTGTTTGTGTGTCTTTTTGCATTTACTGTAGCCCTGAGAGACACGAGCAAACGTAGTTCTTTTATTATTATCCAGTAATTGTTTCGTTATTCATAAAAGCTATTGCTCTCTCTCTCTCTCTCTCTCTGTTGTCTTTCGTTCGCGTAAAGTCGATATATATATACGAGTTTAAAGTAAACAATCACAACACACACATCAAATAAAAATAAACTATTCTAAAAAAATTTAAAAATTAAAAGTACAATAATGAAGGTAAGAATCTAACAAAGTGAACAGAAAACTTAACGTTCAAAACTTTTCTTTCCCTATTAAAATAAAATAAAATAAAATAAAAAAAAAAAAAAAAAAAAAAAAAAAAAAAAAAAAAAAAAAAAAAAAAAAAAAACAAAAAAAAAACACAGTCGAGAGAAAATAGGAGAAATCATTCAGCGTCAAGTCACCTGAACCTCACCTTGCACATCATATACATTGTATACAGAGCTTCAGGTTCATGTCTAAGGTTTCTCTTGTTTACCTTTCATCGCTAGTCTTCCTGTAAATATATCGCTAGGCTCCTCCATATTATTTATTTATTGCTCATATTGCTTTTAGATCATTTTCTTGGTTTATTTGGGGCTTGTATACAATGATATCAGAAGGGAGCAGTCGATGTAGATATGTATATATAGTTAAAATAAAATAATATGAGAATGTGAATGTTTTGCCAGGGCTTCAGCTCAGATTGAAGCTCAAACCATCCGGTTAACTGATAGCTCATGCTAGTTAACTTGCTTAGATTAGTTTAAAACAGCTACAAATAAAACGTGAGTTAGAAAAAAATGTATACAAATAGCTATGCTGAATTTTTGAGTAATTTCATACAATAGAAGCCAAGCTCTGGCTGTTTTTCTGCCTCAATTCACGCTTTCATTCTCTCCTACTCTTTCTCTCTCTTTCTCTTGCTCTATCTATCCTCCCTTCGCTCATTACCCTCGAATGATCAACGTTGCACAACTGTTTACAAGATTAAAAAAAAATATATATTTATATATATAAAGATAAAGATAACCCACAACTTCGGCCGCCGAAGTGGAATCCCGTTCTTTTTTTGGGATTCGTTGAAATATTCGAAAAGTTAACGAAGAAAAAAAAAAGAAGTTCTCGATATTTGCTATGCATTTGAGTTGGTTTGCGCGAACTAATCTCTGGCATCCTTCGCAGCATATCAAGGCGTGCATAGACGAGGAACAAAGCGCGGCTCTGGTTGCGACATGGGCGTCACCGTGGAGTCGGGAGACGGCAGCTCCAGGTCGTCGTCAGAGTCACCTTCGAACTCGCGTCCTTCGACACCCACAAAGGTAACAGGCGACGAGGACGAGGACTCCACTATGAAGTCTATCGGCGATAATAATGATCCCGGCATGGAAGTAGCTGGCGATGCGGACGATAAGAAGGTTGCACGCTCAGCTTCCAGCAGCTCCTCGTCCTCCTCTAGCAGCAGATCCAGTCGTCGCGTCAAAAGAAAAAAGAAGAGCTCTGGAAGCAGCAGCAGCAGCAGCAACAGCAGCAGCAGCAGCAGTAGCAGCAGTAGTTCCAGCAGCAGCAGCTCCAGCTCTGACGAGGACGATGACAAGCTCAAAGCGTCACCATCAGCAGCAGCTGTTCGAGCTGATGATGATGATGCCTCTGCAGCCCATGGCGAGGCTGATGGCGATGCTGATGGTAATGCTCGTGGCGAAGGTGATGGCGCTGGTGATGCCGGCGCTGTTGCTTCTGCACACACAAATCCAGATGACGACGCAGATGCCATCAGCTCAGTTTCCGGCTCGCCAATCAAATCACATTCGGCCACATCGGCGCGTAGTCGGAGCAATAGCCCAGATCGACTGTACAACCAGGGGGGAGTGGATCTGAATATTAGCCACGAGGATCTAAGTGATGTGAGCGACATCGACATGGAGAACAAGGCCACCTCCAAGGACTCCACGATGGTCGGTGACGATGATGACGGCGCCCTCTCGAACGACTCGCAGCCAGTCACTCACGCAACCCAAGCTCTCAATGGCAAGGATCGTCGGGGCGGAGAGGACAAGTCAGCCAGCCAACCCGCAACAGATAATAAAATGGTAACAATTATATTTGATTGATATAACATTGAATCGATTGTGCTTAGGTCACGAACTCAAATCATTTATTTATTTACTTGGCAATTAGTTTTCATATGACGAATCAATGTCAGTTATTTGTCTAACGAAATATGGATCCGAGTTTAATTCAAAATCTTATCCAACAGGAGCCGGGCAGCACCAATGGGTTGGATGATCTGGTCAAGGCACACGACGATGATGCGCTCGACTTTGAGGCTGAGGAGGGCGAGTGCCCGGAGCTGAAGGAGGCGGACGCCGAGACGGACGGGGCTGCCAAGGCGGGCGCCACAGCAAACGGCAACGATTCAAATAAGAAAGGGAAATCCCCGCCGAAGCAGCTCGATGAGAACAACAAGGTGGTGCAGCTCGATGGCGATAGCAATGGAGCGGGCGATGGTGATGGCGAGGTGGACGAGGATGGCGAGGACGGGACCGGTGACTCGGACAATGCCAAAAAGAAGAAAAAGGACGAAGAGCTGGAAGAGGGCGAAGTCTCGGACGAGGATGAGAAACGCCCCGAGGAGACAGAACCGAAGCCCGTCTGTCGCTTCTACACGCGTGGCCAGTGCACCTGGGGCATGAGCTGCCGGTTTCTACATCCGGGCGTCACCGACAAGGGCAACTACACAATGTTCGAGAGCCTCGTGCGCTCCGTGCCCATGCAGAGCGGCAGCGGAGCGGGCAACCCCTCGCGGGGAGCGGGCGGCAGTGCTTACAACAGTCATATGGCCGGCGTGCCGCCCGCCAGTGACTACCACGACTACCGCAACGAACGTCCGGCCGCGCTGCATCATCGGAGTGCCGCGTCACTGCATCACGGGGGCGTGTATGCGGCGGGCGGAGCCGGAGTCAGCGCACACCATGATGCGCGGAGTGGGCTGATGATGCCCGACGGGCCGGTGGTGGTGGAGAATGCCTGGGAGCGCGGGCTGCGCACGGCTAAGGAGATGATGCGCAAGGCAAACAAGCGCAAGGAGCAGGACATGGACTTTGAGGACAAGAAGATGAATCTAACGCTTTCGCCAGATGAACTGGAAAAAGATCCGTATTATCTCAAGGAGCGCGCCACCTCACCCGCCGTTGTGCGAGAGTTGCCGCCGAGCAATCCGATCAGTCACGGGAATCCGCGCGCCCTAATGCCCTCGATGTACTCCATGTACGGCCAGCCGGCGGATCGGTATCGTTTCCCCTATATGCCGTCCATGGCGTATGAGGATGTGGATGCCTATGGCCGTATGGCACGGTATCGGGAGCTGCCGCCGCATCGTATGCCACAGTACGAGGACGACCGAAGATTGCGTCCCGCTCGGGAAGTGATTGTGCAGCGCGTGGAGCCGGTCGGACGTGGTGATGAGTGGAGCGATCCGTGGATGCGCTCAAAGTCGATTGGACGCGGTCCGTCGTACGAGCGAGACGACAGGCGACGCCGCGATCGTCGCAGCTACAGCAGCAATACATCCTATTCCAGCTCCAACAGCTCACAGAGCGATTCCAGCTCCGACTCGTCGCGATCTAGCAGCGCGTCGGATCACAAGCGTCGCTACTCGCACAAAATGATGTCCTCCTCCACTTCGCGCCGCCATGCTGCCGGACGGGCGCGCTCGCCCAGCCAAATACCACGGCGACCCAGACACACATCAAGTGAGTGCCCTGAATAATTGCTATGGGGTAATTTGGATAAACATTTCTCTTGTTCTCCTCGCAGAGGGCAGCACTTCGTCAGCATATAAGCGCGCCGCGTTGGAGAAGCGCAGCGGCGGCGGACACAGTCCCGCCGCAAAGCGCAAGAAAGTCACCCCGACGCCCAAGAAGTTTGACAAGATCCGACGCCGTCGCAGCTCCAGCTCATCTGACTCGGGTATTTCCTAGCATTTAGCTATTGAGTAACACTGATAACTGATAACTTGGGCACTTGCAGATTCCTCAGACACTTCATATTCGGACTCGGAATCCGGCAGTTCCTCGTCGGACAGCTCGTCGGGTTCGCGTGAAACGCCCGCGAAGCGCATGCGTGCCACAGACAAGGCGCTCAACGAGCGCAAACTAATCAAAAAACGTTAGTATGAAGTAGATATACTATATTCCATATTGCATCCTAATTGGGGCATTTCTCTGATCCACTGTGCAGCCACTGAACAATCGACCAAGAAGCGTTCACCCATTTCCATTGAGATTAAGAAAACATCGAACATGGTGGGCGTGTCGGCGCTAGTGTCGCCCACCAATTCGCCCGATAAGGAGAAGGGCGCTTGCAAGGACAAAGAAAAGGAGAAGGAGAAGGAAAAGGAGAAAGACAAGGACAAGGACAAGGACGGCAAAAAGTCGCGACGCGAAGAGCTACTAAAACAACTGCGCGCCGTCGAGGATGCCATTGCAAAGAAGCGCTCCAAACTGACCTGATAACATACGATAGCACCCCTCCCAGTCCCCCAATCCACCTCAATGCACCAGCAGTTGCAGCAAACGCTCCCCAAATGCGAACCATATGCAGCATTCGGTATACAATCTGTAGGGTATGTGTGCGGTCGTCTGTCTGTCATCTAACTGTTGCCAAGCACGCAAATGTGGATTGGGAGCTCATAGCTGCAACTCGAACTGCAACTGCGACTGCGACAGCGACTGCGCCGACGTCTGCAATTGGATCTGCTTCTGGATTAGCATTAGCATTAACCAGCTGCCTTAGAAAACAGTCTTTGCATCCTTATCTAACTACTTTACCTAACATTCGTATCGCTTGTGTCGACATTGAGTCGATTGTCAGTGGAAAAACAAACAATACAATGCATTTAGTTTTAATAATCCCCTCATTATTCACATACACATACACATACACGTGCCGACCAAGACCCACGCCCGCACATATACGTACGCATACGCAGGCAAACAGACTGACACACAGACAGCGATGCAGACAAACACTCACACACATCCTAAAGTTTTGTAAACGCCGCTCGCCAATGATAATACTTCATTGACTTTGACTATGACAGACAGATGTAATGATGTAATGAATAAACGGCGCATTTCATTGGATCAATTAGTGTATTGTCTTTTATTTTGATTTCTTTTCATTTCAATCTGTATGTATATATAATCTGCAAGATTACTGAATAACTACTTCAAATATAATATAACTTACTGTTATTTAGATTAACAAATTCTCGTTGTTTTTCTGGGGCAGACGAATTTCCATGGACTTGCTGTCATAGCAGTTAGCTTTTGACGGGATGTTTGCTGATGTGTGAGCTATAACGTTCACGGCTCGATTCACTCATGCTGAAATCTTTTTAATATTGTGATGAAATTTGATTGATTTTTGAATTCTTTTGGATTGATTTTGTAACTTTTATGAATTGCACTTGCTGCAGCCATCTATCTGTCACGGTTAACAACATATTACAGGTTACACGCAGTCCAATTGGAATATGTGCGCCATCTAGGGCTAGAATTAATCATCGATCCTGTCCAATAAGAACGCTTATAGGAAAGGCAGCTGAATTGGACTTCATTTGAATTTACTGCAATTATTGAAGCTTATGGAAATAAACGAATATTTTTAAAATATGGCAATGAATGTTATGAAGTAAGGTTTGTACTGCCATCTCTTCAACGATTTGCTGTGTTTTTAAAGAATATTTGCAATATGCCAAATTGTTGCGGCATCTGTTAGAAATTGCAGTGAACCTTCTATTTGCGTGTGTGTGTGTGTGTGTATGTGGGTGTGCGTGCATGTAATGCGTTGTAATTTCACGGCAATGCGTGTGCGTGTGGGTGTGTTTGAATAAACCTATTTAGATGACGAATCACAGAAATTTGGCCTCATCAATGTGCGTTCGCGAATCACAACTCCGCTTTGCCTCGCTGCGACCTATATACATGCATACATATATGTACATATATCTAGGTATGTATGTGCGTGTATAACGACCATAGTCCAATTCCAGAGCCATCCAACCCCAACCCTCCCAACCTAGTCGACTCACAACGTCGACGCTATCGACACGTTCTGTGCGTAACAAACTCCAACTCAAACTCCGATTCCGATTTCGACTGTGACTTTGACTTTGACTATATTATATTACACGATATTTGGCGTTGATTTCGAATACCCTCATCGAGTGGTGTTACGACTGAATAAGGAATGATGTGGCCAAGATGTGGTAGGGCCTGAAGATGTGGGTAAGCATTGGAGATCGATATCAATATATCGATATCAATGTATCAATAAATACAACGAAATTTAAATTTATATGCATATATAAATAAATATATCGATAAATTCGATTGGTTTAGAATTATCCTAATTTATCGATACGTGTATATCGATATACACAAACGTCCATACATTTATATACATACACCTGTATTAATATCTGGGTATATTAATATATTGATACTCCAATAAACATACGTATATCTTACCTATATAACGACCTATCTATATACATATGTACATATTTTTATTGGAACAATCGCCAGTTGAGTGATATTAAAGCAATCATAAACCATATGTATATCGAATTACATATATTTCCTTGGTTCTACCTGTCCATATCCAGCAGTAATACCAAGAGATTTACTATCGGAGCATAAAATCATATGTATATTATATATTGCATGTTTATCCTTACAGAGTATCTGCTCTTCTATAATCTCTCATATCATTTTGCCTGCTTGCCTATGCATGTGTGTGTGTGTGTGTGTGTGTGTGTGTGTGTGTTTGCATGTGTGCCAAAAAATTTTGCAATTTCTTGTTCTTCTCTCGTCATCGTTGCTCATTTTTTGCAATCACAGCCGCAAAAAGCTGTCAGAGCACATTGTCATCATCGGGCTAGCGAGCCACCCGCGCCACCTCACCACCCAGTCAGCTAACCCACCCACCTGGTCATGTGTGTGTACATGTGTTCGTAATCGTTGCCCCTCAGCTCAGGCCTAGCTGGGGAAATAGTGTAATAAAGGACAGCTGAACTGAAACCTCAACCCCTAACCCCCTGCCCCAGCCCCGCCCGTTGGCCGTGGCGCAGGCAACCCCCCAAAGCGAAAGCAGTTTCTTGGCTGGATTAGCGAATTCCGTTGCCATTTTTTACGCACTTCCAGGCACAAAAAAAAAAAGAAAACGTGGTGGACACCTTGAGAGTGATAGACGGGGAGGCAGCAGAAGGAAAAGTGGCGCAGGGGCAGCGGCGGGGGCTGGGGCTTGGGCCTGGGCCTGGTGGCTGTTTTCGTTGGGCTCGGCCCAACATGTGCGACAGCAAAAACAATCACGAACAGATTTATCGCATTCATATTCAGCTTGATGCGATATGTGACCCCAGATGTGGGCGTGGCTTCTGGGCTGTTGCGGTCGAGTTACTACGGCCGGCACTTCCGGGCGCAAAAAGAAAAAAAAGTATGCATATATATGTATGTGTGTATATGTGTGTGTACACACATGCACATGTCTATGTGTGTGTGTGTGGGTTTTAAAGAATTGCGTGCGTATGTGTGTCAAGACCACAAAATGGGATTACATTACTCAAAGAAATTTATTTTGACAGAACTAATATTTTTACACAGATCAGGCTGCTGCTGCTGATGTGTGCTGTCCCTTGTCCCCTTCACTCCCCTTTTGCCACCGCCCGCACCCACACCCCCAGCCCCATGCCCCCTTTCTGGGTCGGAGATTGCGGTTTTGCTGTAGAGCAGGTTTTTTATTTTATTTTATTTTTTTTCTTCGTTCATTTTGTTGTTGCTCTTGCAGCAGACTTTGACTAACTATGCTGCCTTAAGCCGCAGCAGGCGGTTAAATTGGCTGGCAATGCCATAGGGTTTACTACCAGAACTATAGTATCTAGACACCTATAGTTGCATGTATGTATATGTGTGCGGAAAATTACTTCAACTCATTCAGTTCTACTAGGATTGCTCTTTAAAGCCAACTAATCCTGTATCACATGAGCGTGACATAGCAGCCAGCTTTTAGTCGGAGCGATTTGATAAACCTACCCAGCAAGCAATTGGAAGACTGTTTTAACAGAAATCGTCTTGTTGAGTCTTTTTTGAGTCTCCTTGACGATTAAAAAACGATCTAATCTCCTGGGCGATCAAAAGAAGACTCATAAATGACCCTTCCATATGCTCAAAGTATGATTGCTTTGAAGCACAAAAGCGAAATGCAAAGCAATCGCCAAATGAGCACGCAGGTGATTAAAATATGATCATTGCTTGGTTTTGCTTTGTTTCTATGCACTCAT